CTCTTCCTCCCGATTCTTTTTTTCTCTTCTTTTTCTATTTTCATTCTGTCAGATTTATTATGATAGTCATGGACGTTTGACACAGCTACATATGCAATTGTTGGCAGCTGATCGTCCGCCAGCCTTGGTTTATTTATTATAACCTGCCGCAATATAGTCTTGCCATCTGTCCATGTGTCTTAGACAATCCTTTAGTACTTTCCTATGTACTATGCCATTTGCCTATTGTTATTGATACTCGTGTTTTGTATCTAATATCTAATAATAATAATGTATCTAATAATAATAATCTTGTTTTGTATCTAGTAAAAAATAATAAAAAATTATGGAAACAAACAAAAAAAAAAGGAATATATTGGTCCAGAACTCTCTGTTCTCTCTATGCAAAGTAGCATTTCACTATGTAAATCATTTTGTTCTGTTGCTGTGGCTGGTGCGGGAATTATCCTTAGTGACGGGTTAAGTACTTATCATTCATGCAAAACAACCATGTTCCTGAGTGCTAACATGAGCCGGTTTGGGAAACTGTGTTTGCATGCTGCGTGTGATGGGCCTGTCTCTAAGTAAACACTGGCACAAAAAAAAATAAGCTAAAGAGTAAAGGAGAAAAAAAAGTATAATTTGACCAATTACAGTTTAGAGCCCGACTGTCTCCAGGAACAGCTTAGAATTTAGATAGACTTCTTTTATGAACATTTAAAACTAATCGCCATTGGATTAAATACATCACCCACATCTTTGAAGATCGTCGCCAGTCCTTGCAGCTAAGTCCGGATGATTTGGTGGAGGTGCCTAGCGTCATTTCCCCAAAGATCTCAACGCCACATGTTCCATGAGTCATAGGGACTGCGTATTACATAAAATGCCCAGGCTGGCTTATGTCTCCAGGGCTGCACATCCCAAACAAATCAATCTGAAATTATTCATCCCGAGTATCTAAGGACTTTTCAGGTGCCACATCAAAGGATTCACAATCGCAATAAGAACAGACAATCTCCTTCCAGACAGTGGTATTAACTGATCTCGGCGCACCAGAGCTGACTATTGTCACAACTACACTGTTACTCACTGACACATGCTGTATAAAAGTTCCCCTTAAACAAACGTGAGCATCAGAATCCTATAAACCCTTGCAATTGAAATAATAATTTTACCCCGTTGCTCGGCAACCCCCCCCCCTTCCTTCAATAATTTCCCTCTGATGTAATAAGATGAAGATTCCCCCTGCCTGTCAAAGCCCCTCTACAGTGGCGCCAGTTTCACTTAGATCTCGCTCAATCAAAAGACTTTGGGTATCCAAATGCAGAAAGAAGATAAAAAAACATAAAGAATAAAATGTATCCAAACTCAACACAACTCTGAAGCATTATCTTGTCTAAGTAAATCATGCAGGCCCTACAAGAGGATGTCAATTTCCAGCCAGGAAGCGGCCATATATGTAAAAAGGCTGGTGAGGTGAGCAGGGCGTCTGGAGGTTGGCCTCTGCCTCCACTGTCACGAACTAGGAATTTAAAGTAGATGTACACCCTATCATTAAAATCTCATATAACAGCCATTCTTAACCATAGTTGCATGCAATCCTAGGGTTCCTTCAGAGGTTGCTAGGGGTTCCTCAAGCTGTGGCTTATTGACCTCACATTTGATGGTACCTGTACTGGTGCAAATGCCACTCAGCAGAGTTAATTAATTTGTAAGCTGTCTTAAAGGGTGGCATTCTGGCCACCAATGTAAGGGGAATTCCTCCCACTTGACCACCAATATAAGGCACAATCTTTCCACTGACCACAAAGTAAGGAGCATTCTCCGCACTGACCCCCAATGTAAATGGACATTCTTTTCACTAACCACCAGTGTGAGAGACATTTTTCCCACTGACCTCCAATGTTAGGGAAATTCTTCCTACTGGCCACCAACGTAAGGGTCATTCTTCCGACTAGCCACCAATGCAAGGGATATTCTTCCTACTGACCACCAATGTTAGGGACATTCTTCCTACTGACCACAAATGCAAGGGACATTCTTTCCACCGGTGACCAATGTAAGGAGCATTCTTCCCACTGATCCCCAATGTTAGGGACATTCTTCCCTCTGAGCACCAATGTAAGGGTCATTCCTCCCACTGAGCTCCAATGTTAGGGACATTCTTCCCATTGGCGACCGATGTAAGGAGCATTCTCCCCACTGACCCCCAATGTAAGAGTCTTCTTTTACACTGACTCCCAATGAATTGACTAATTGGTTTTAGTGGGGGTTCCCCAAGTCCAAAAAATTATTTCAAGGCTTCCTCTGGTGTAAGTAGGTGAAGTAAGGATGTTCAATAAGATTTAAGATGGTAAAGCAGACCTTCCATCATATTATGAACTAGTTTCCTCTCCCCTCTCTCTTACAAAATCACTTGTGAATATAAGAGGATGTTTTTACTCCCTAAGTTGCTCTTAGGCCGCTCCCTGGAGCCTCTCTCCCCCTCCGCTGCAGTGGACTAAGGTCCCTGAGACATCACATCCAATACAGAGTGTATAGGACATGAGGATTCCTAGGTGGTGAAGAGGGGCTGGAGGGAGGCGCTGTCATAGCCAGCTGGCTCAAAGGATCAGGTGAGTAGAACTTGTTATTTTTAACTCTAGGCAAAATGATCACATAACCCTTAGAAAGAGGGGGTAGCCCCACTGCAAGGGTTATTTTTTTTTACCTGGAGTTGTTCTTTATACAACAACAAAACTGATTCAATTGAGCTTTTAAGGTGTCACATCCGGACTTAATGGGACATTTACACATACAAATAAACCTTGTCAGTGATATAATTATTTTAACAATTTTTTATTAAAAATACATGATTTTGAGACATATAAAATCAGACTAAGAACATATTCCAAAGACAGGAATTTATCCCAAGGCAGAGCAACAACCCCCCCCCCTCCCCCCCCCCTCATGTGACAGTGTGCAGTATGTCCAGCCTTCAACTTTGTTGTGGCTAACAAATGTGATTCATTGATATTGTTAAGAGATAAGCAATTGATTAAATTGACATGATTGTCTAGAATGTGTCTGTGGGATCCAGGGGGGTTGGTGCTATGCCTCGGGATAAATTCCTGCCTTTGGAATATGTTCTTAGTCTGATTTTATATGTCCCAAAATCATGTATTTTTAATAAACAATTGTTAAAATAATGATATAACTGGATAGGTTTATTTGTATGTGTAAATGTCCCATTAAGTCCGCATGTGACACCTTAAAAGCCCCATTGAATCTGTTTTGTTGTTGTATAAATATGTAGGGGTGTGGTGTCATGGTTTCTTTGGTGGTTCAACTACTTTGTATACAGAGGGGGTTATTCACACAGCTGCCAGAGGCAGCTGAGTGAATAACCCAGCCGAAGTAAAGTGAGCGCTGTTCGGCTATTCACTTCAGTGTTGTATGGCTGATTTCAGCCGCACATCGGCTATAATCAGCCGTACATCGGCTGCCTTCGGTTCGGCTGAGCATTTGGATCAGCTGAGCCGAAACTCCGGCAGCTCACCGTTCGACTCTATTCTCATTGGGGCCGAACGGCAGTGAGTGGATAGCCGAATGCCGCTGGGCGGCATTCAGCTCGGCTATTCTGCTCACTACCTCCGTGGTACCGAGCAGAATAGCTAAACAACAACAAAAATATTTTTTAAAATGTCAATAAATATTAAATGTAAAAAAATAAAGTTTTTTAAAAAGTAAAAAAAAAACTGTTTCCTATTGGCCGAGACCTGCTAGAGTCTCTGCTCTTCTCACGGGGACCGAACTGCAGTAAGTGAATAGCCGAATGTCGAGGGGCTGAGCGGCATTCGGCTTGGCTATTCTGCTCGATACCTCCGTGAACAGAAAAAAAAAGTTGAAAAATTATTTAAAAATGTTTTAAAAAATAGGAAAATGTAAAAATATATAAAAATATTTTGGAAAAAAGAAAAAAAATACAAAACGACGCACGCCAACCCGACCGCATGCGACGGACTCCTGCCACATAATAAAGCATCTGACAGGTGGTGGTAAAAGAAAAACAATTGGGCGGAGCTAGCGGTGACAGATAGATCCGCCCAACTGTTTCCTATTGCCCGGCCAATGAGTAACAACTGGGCGGACCCGGCCGTGACGTCACAGCCGGCTCCGCCCAGTTGTAATGACAGATCAGCGTCCTGAGGTCATTTGGGGACGCTGATCTGTCATTACAACTGGGCGGAGCGAGACGGGAGATCACGGCTAGCTCCGCCTAGCTGTCATTTGCGTGGAGATCGGTTTGGCTTCGGCCGACCATTCTCCACGCTTCGGCTGTCACTTCGGCTCAGTCGAGCCGAAAGACATGCCTTCGGCTCGGCTGCCTTACAGGCTATTGTGAATAGCCCGGACAGCAGCCCTTTGGTTTGACTGATCCGAAGGGCAGAGGCGGGCCGAAGAGAGCCGAAGCTACGGTTGGATCCTTTGCCTCTTTACTGAATAACCCCCTGAGTTTTCTTTAAACACAGGAGGGATTATCTCGGAAGTATCAACAAACTTTATTGCGGCCGCCATTGAACCCAGAAGACCAAGAACATCCAGTGGTGGAGGAGAAGTGCTACATGGTGACAGCTCTGTATTGAAGGTGAGCATTGCAGCACAAGCTGCTTTTTTATTTTATGTATAAACAGATAATTCTTTTTTTTTTGTTAGTTCTGCTTTAAAAAAAGAAAAATACAATTTCTCCTGGTCTGTTTCTTGCACAGTTTGCACAGACTTTTGATTGAAAAAAAAAAAAGAAAAGAAAAGCAGCTGCTTTGTAAATAAGAGAGTTAAAAAAAGAGGACAGAGTCTCCAGCAGCTTCGACACTTCACGAGGAACGCCTCCCCTGGGATCACTTTTTCAAGATTCGCAACTGCTCGACTAAAAGCTTCACTCATTACACAGCCCTACATATCACAACAAGCGTGGTGTTCCCTGACTGACAGGTGGCCATTGTAGAGGAGCTTCCCCGTACAGTGCTTGAAGTGCGGCGCACTCCGTAGATAAGCATATGCGATTGCAGGATGTGCAGATTGCTCTGCTTTCCGCTGGAGCGAAAAAATAATGAGGCCCCAACCACTGCACTGAGCTACGGCGAGTCCGCGTCGTCCATTTATTCACAATGGAGTGTAAAGCCGAACTCCATATGTTAAAGAAGTTCTGTAATATCATTGTATATTTTATGGGGGGTGGGTTTGTATGTATTAAATAAAGATACGGTACATCTGTTGTTATAATAGCTGCCTGCAGATCAGTACACAGAGGAAGGGACATCACTTTCAGAACACAGGGTAGGGAAGAACACAGACAGGTCCTTGTTCATGTGCTGCTGCTCTTTCACTGTCCGATAAGCAAACTTGGAACAGGGAGCTGAAAACGTTGTATTCCTTAACTGTAATACTGAATACGGTGTCTATGCAGTGCACCAGAAGTGTGCGAATCAAAGAAGCGGCCGAGCAGAATCACAAATATTTTGACAGCAGGTCACGTGAATGTTTCCCAATTTGCATTTACAGCTTTGGCTGGAGTTAGGCTTTAACTGCCTCTACTGGTGAGAGATCTACATTCTGTTACATAGGGTTATACGGGGCAAAGTATCAGTCCATCCAAAACTGATATTTCGGCATTTGGCAGATTTTGCAGAGATTAACTTCTGTCTCTCAGGGACTCTGTTGGTGAGATCTCTGCACTAAGATCCCGGGACTGTACACCTGCTGTGCACATTATGAGGGACTCTCACCATCCCTGTGCTGAGTTCCCGGGTCTGTACACCTTCTGTGCCCATTATGAGGGGTTCCCACCATCCCTGTGCTTAGGTCCTGGGTCTGTACACCTGCTCTGCTCATTATGATGGGGTTCCCACCATCCTTGAGTTGAGTTCCTTGGTCTGTGCCCCTGCTGTGCCCATTATGAGGGGCATCAACCATCCCTGTGCTGAGTTCCCAGGTTTGCACACCTGCTGTGCCCATTATGAGGGGCCCCCACCGTCCCTGTGCTTAGTTCCTAGGTCTACACACCAGCTGTACTCATTATGTTGGATTTGTTTTTTTATATACATATTATGGAGAATGTAACCGGAGTTGCCGGAACTCTCAAAAGACAAGAAGGAACACCCAAAACTTCCAGGTGGACAGAGAATTATAGGGAAATCTCTGTTGGAGCATCATATAACAAGCCAGGGGCCGAGTCAGAAAACCAGTCTCCTTCTCTACCTAAAATATCACTATTGGCTGTACCGATCCTTTAAAGTGAACCCAAATTATAAACCTTAGCAATAATGCAAAGTTTTTAACCATGCCTAATTTTTTTTTAATGTGCCGTTTGCCAAAATAGTTCAAAAAGCTGGTCCTTTAAGTCAAGACTTGTTGCTTAATTTTGAATGACAAATAGCATAACATGTGACTAGGGATGAGCATGATGGAAAATCTGCTTCACCCCGATGTACCTACCTCATCCACTGCCCCCCTTCCCAGGAGATCAGATTCCCCTCGGAAGTTAGAGCAGGGGATTGTTCCAATGAAAATAGATAGATAGATAGATAGATAGATAGATAGATAGATAGATAGATAGATAGATAGATAGATAGATAGATAGATAGATAGAGCTCTCTCCCCCTCCCCTCACCTGCCTTAGTATCTCCCTCTCCCACCCATTAGATGAAGGAGAACACCCCCTACTACAAGCCTTATTTCAACATTCAGGTGGCCTGTGACAACTCGTTACAAAGAAACATTTCTGATAATTAGTCATTACAATGGCTGAATTAAAAAAAATGATTTCATGACTCATAAGAAATACAAATGGGAACCTGAAGCATGGAGCTGGTTTTACAAAAAGAAAAAAAAAGAAAAGGAAAACATATTTTTGGTCTAATATCTTTTACCGAAAGTTAAACCGCCAGCAGATAATTAATTTACACACATCAGATTGACTCATCTTCCTGCCAATTTGGTTCTCGTTGTTTTAATTTTGTAACGAGCTAATAATGGGATTGAAACTTCAAAAATAAGTCCCGTTGTGGCCAATTTACACAATTAAATAAACCGCGCTCCCGTCAAAACGGGCCGGCTCCGCGCGAGAAAGAAACTTTCGTCAGGGATGCAAGGGTATCATTCAAAGGGTTCGGGCAGCATCCAGCCAGCTACAATGTAGCGGGAGAAAAATTGCACTGGTGTATTTGTAGCAATATAAAGCAAGTGGAGGCCTGGGACTCGTTATTATCTGGAACGCTGCTGCCGAGGAAGCTCCAAAAAAACACGGAAAATAAAATAAAAGGAAATTGTTAAGGCGAGGCTGTGAGGATGGTGCACATAGCAACACGATCGCTAAGCATTTCCCCTGCAGCCAATATGATAACAAGTATTAAACTGTTACAGAGGACATTCCAGTAATATATACCTCCTATAATCAAGGCAATATAAATAATCATGATCCTAATAATAATAATTATTATTGTTAAGCCATAATCACCACCAGAATTCAGGCTGAGTAGGACATAGCACCAGGACCTACCACAGTCACACAAACTCATTATAGGGCCAGTTTGGGAGAAGACTCACAGAAACTTGACCTGAACATCATGGGAGATTATGATTTCAATCAAATATAAAAATTACAAAAATGTGCAGATTTACTCTCTTCCTTTTTATATTTCCTCTCTCCCCTCTACCTCATCTCCGTCTATCAGTCTATCTCTTAGAATTGTATTATCTGCTCAGTCTCCTTCTCTTCCTCCCACCCACTCTTTCACCACCCCTTCTCCTCTTTGTCCCCCCTCTCTTCTTGTCTCTACCCTCTCTTCTCTCTCTGCCCTCTTTCCTCCCTCACTTTTCCTTACCCTCTTTCCTACCCATCCCCTCTTCCTCCCCTCTTTCCATTCCCCCTCTCCCTCCTTCTCTCTCGTATTCCCCTCTCCCTCCTCTCTCAACCCCCTCTCTCCATTCTTTACCCCTTCTCTCTCTTTTTCCCTTTCTCTGTTGCTCTACTTATCTTCTCTTTTCTTCTTTCACTCCTTCTCTACCTTATATCCCTCTCCTCTCTTTTATTCCCTCCCTTTTCTCTACCTGAGGCTCTCACCCTTTCTCTCTTGCCTTCTCATGCCCCTACTCTTTCTCTTCCTTCTCCCTTCCTTCTCTCCAATACCACTTCCTTAATAATACTCTTGTTCTCTGCCTCCATCCACTCTTCCTTCTCTCTCTATGTCATTCTTCTTCTCTCTCCTCTCTCTAATTCTATTATCTCCCTTTCTCTCTCCCCTCTGCATTCTCCTCTCTCCTTTGCTCTCCCCTCTACTCTCTTTTCCCTCTCCTCTCTCCATTCTTCTCTCTCTCCTCTACTTTCTCTCCTTGTCACTTCCCTCTTCTCTCTCTCTCCCCTCTACGTTGCTCTCTCTCCCCTTTCTCTCTACCCTCACCGTTCTCTTCTTTCTCTCCTTTGCTCGTCTCTCTCATCTCTCCGTTCTCCTCTCTTTGCCCTCTCCTCTTTCTCCATCTCTCTCTCTCCTCTGCCCTCTCTCTCTCCTCTTTCTCCATCTCACTCCCTTCTCTCTCCTTTGCTCTCCCCTCTTCTCTCTCTCCACCTCTCTCTCTCTTCTCACCATCCCTTTCCCCCCTCTCCTCTCTCTCTCCCCCCTCTCCTCTCTCTCTCTCCTCTCCCCACTCTCTCTCCCCCCTCTCCCCCCTCTCCTCTCTCTCTCCTCTCTCTCTCCTCTCTCCTCTCCCCTCTCTCCTCTCCCCTTTCTCTCTCTCTCCCTCTTTCTCATATTACGAGGTAACAAACACCACCGCAGCACACACAACAGACAGGGGAATCATGCCAAATGACTGGTAATAGAAATATGAATGTGTGCGCGGAGGGCTGACACTTCCTAATCCTCCACATAACTGTGAATAGTGCGGTGCAGAGCGCCTGTTACACAACACCTAGGCATGACAGGGCGGAGCAATGACAGATATTTTATGAATAGCTCCCCTTAACCTTGTCTATATGTCACTTACAATGAAGGATTTGTTCTACGCCATCAAGCCCGCAATTACCATTAACATTCAGCGGCTGCGCTATGCGGAGATAATGTGTTTATAATTACAAATTATGTGTTTCTTTGTTTCCTAAGTTCTGTAATTCTGCTTCTCACAAAAAAAAGAGAGAGAGATAGGGATCCGGAAAACTGGGATGCGCTGATATCCGAATAGCAACCAGCCCTCGATGATTAAGGCTTTTGGGATGCTTTACAAGTTTGAGTGATGAGGGCAATTCATTCCAGTTAGCAGACCCCTCCCTGCCCCCGTACCAGCATGTCGGACTGCAATTCAGAGCTTCTGGGGTAAGACTCTGTAAGAGTAAGCAAGGAAGGTGCAGTGGGTGTGTTTGGGAGTGTCGCTGCTCCTGCACAACAGGGTTCCCAGATCACCAGCTTACTCACAAAGGATTGTGATTGCTGGTCCACTGAGCTAATGTAGACCTATGATTGGATACATTTATCATATTAGGTTCAAGCATGATAAATATTGTTTACCTCTTCCAGATATTGTTTACCTCTCACAGGACTCCCCCTGACAGGAGATCACAGGACTCCCCCTTATGGTTGGGAGACTGAGGAAATGCTTCCTCCTGCATGCAGCAGACTGATCACTGGGGGAGTGGAGACTGAGGAAATGCTTCCTCCTGCCTGCAGCAGACTGATCACTAGGGGAGACTGAAGAAATGCTTCCTCCTGCCTGCAGAAGACAGATCACTAGGGAGACTGAAGAAATGCTTCTTCCTGCCTGCAGTAGACTGATCACTGGGGGAGGGGAGACTGAGGAAATGCTTCCTACTGCCTGCAGCAGACTGATATCTGGGGGAGAGGAGTTCAAGGAAATGCTTCCTCCTGCCTGTGGAAGACTGATCGCTAGGTGAGGGGAGACTGAGGAAATGCTTATTTTTGCCTGCAGCAGACTGATCACTGGGGGAGGGGAGACCGAGGAAATGCTTCTTCCAGCCTGCAGCAGACTGCTCACTTGAGGAGGGGAGACTGAGGAAATGCTTCCTCTTGCCTGCAGCAGACTGATGTTATCATTGGAGTAAAATAAAATGATACTGTTGCTGTACATTGTAACACATCAGGAAATGATTCATGTAGACTTGAAAGTCACCGAAAGATCCACTTGAAGCAAGTTCCCAGCGCTGTATATTGACGACCGCCCGGTTGCTATAGGTTACCGTACCTTTAATGTCCCATGGCATATTGACTAACCGGACTCCGATCATCCAACTCACGACGTGCAGGATGCGGCGGGTGGTGGAGCGGCCTCTAGAACTGCTGACAATGGACTCGGGTGTTGCGCAGGAAACTCTTTAGTCATATTAGACGTGTGATGGAAAGCTCGGCGCGGCTGAAATTCACACATTGCACAGGAAACCCGAGCGCTGCGTGTAATTGGGGCACGGACGGCACGCCTGCTCTCTAATCATAACGGCCCGCAGCAAAGACGGCCTCAGAAGGTTAATGCCCATGACCGGGGTAAGGACACAACAAGATGGAGACTTAAAGGATGAAAGGACGACTGTTCATTCTGATCTGCTACTACAAACGGGGAAATATATATTTTTTAATTTATAAATTCTTGCAGTTCCATATCTCCACGAGGGAATTTCATTTTGTGTGCTCTCCCTCCAGTACCTGCTGGCTGGACAAGCACACACACAGCTTCCGTGCTGGAAAAACTGCTGCGATAAAACCAAAATGTCAGATAAGACACCTAGAGACTGTATCATTTTCAGTCTGTATGTGTTAAAGGAGAACTATGGGGTCAGGGCTTTTCCCCATAGTTCTCCTTAGGGTAACGGGAGGACACAAACTAGCGTCCTCCCGTTACCCTAAGCTCAGTATAGCGCGAGCTAGAGCTCGCGGTATACTGAGACGGCGCAGCCGGAGCGGATCCCGACATCGATGTCGAGATCCGCCCAGCTGAGTGAGTGACAGCTGGCTCTGCCTATCTAGAGGCAGAGCCAGATGTACCCGCCCCCTCCCCCGTCCGTTCCGCCAGTCAGTGCTGGCAGATCGGAGCGGGGAGGGGGGAATCCAGAGAGCCGTGACAGGATGGAGAGGTGAGCGAACGCCGGTATGTGTTCGCTCACCTCCCGGTCTACTGAGCCGACCTGTGACAGTCTCGTTTTTACAGGTCGGCTAGAACTATGAGGTGAGTGAGAAGCACTAACCTCATAGTTCTCCTTTAAGAGAAGAGAGGTAAAGCACAGTCATCGCAATGTACTAATAGGCAACATACATGCATGGAACGTTTGCTGCTCCCATGTACACACACGTAATTATGACAATGTATGTATAGCCAACATCTGCATAACTGCTGCTGTTTTGATTTTCAGTTTGAATAAGTTGGTCATTGACTGCTTGTCAATCACAGGTGACACAGTGCTTATCTAAGGGATCTATATAAGATATCTATATAAGATATATCCAAGGGATCTATATAAGAAATCTCTAAGAGATCTATATCAGGGATCTATATAAGACATCTCTAAGGGAACTATATAAGACATCTCTAAGGGAACTATATAAGACATATCTAAGGGATCTATATAAGATATCTATATAAGATATATCCAAGGGATCTATATAAGAAATCTCTAAGGGATCTATATCAGGGATCTATATAAGACATCTCTAAGGGATCTATATCACAGATCTATATAAGATATCTCTAAGAGATCTTTATGTTATCTATTAAGAGATCCTTTAAGGAAACCAGCAACAGTGAGAATTTATCTTTTCTCTGCCAGGGAATATTGTTTGATACTTGAGGTAATTTTCGACTTAGTCACTGACTCCGTCTCTGCCCTAAACGCTCAGATGTGGCATTTCAAACGCTCCATTTTCCAAAAGTAATAAAAGGTTTGTAGGCGACAATATACAAAAACTATATAATTATTACTATACACTTTATTTAAAATGCATCTCCACCCCAGAACTAATGTTTCAACATTTCAGATTGCCATCCAACTTGCCGAACTCAAATATATCGGATTTGTGTGGTGTTGACACTTAAATAACCTGATGCAAGCGGCAGTGATGTACACGCAGAAACTAATTAGCCATAATTAGACATACCCAGCTGGACACTGATTGGCTGCTTTGGGTTACTATGTAACTATTGCTGCTCCCTGGTCTACTACCAAATTTCAAAAACATATTTTTTTTTTTATACATTAATATCTTAAGGGAGACCTAAAGGGGATTAGGTAGACTTCCATTGGTCATCTGGTTCCGAACTAATACTAAGGTGCTGACTTATAAAGGGTTTGCACAGCGTATAGCTGGGCGATTTCATATTTGCACGGTATTGCTGCTGCTAGTTGGAGCCAAGGAGAATAGGAAATTCAATGGGTGAACCCCTATGAGTTCTGACTTTACAAATCACCCCCTTAACATTCTGCCTTTATAATTCAGCCCCTAAGAGTTCTGACTTTATAGATCCGCCCCAATGAGTTCTAATTTTATAGATCAGCCCCTAAGAGTTCTGACTTTATAGATCGGCCCCTATGAATTCTGACTTTATAGATCAGCCCATATGAGTTCTGAATTTATAGATCAGACCCTAAGTGTTCTGACTTTATAGACCAGCCCCTAAGAGTTATGCCTTTAGAGATCAGCCCCTAAGAGTTCTGACTTTATAGATTAGCCCCTAAGAGTTCTGACTTTATAGATCAGCCCCTATGAATTATGACTTTATAGATCAGCCCACATGAGTTCTGACTTTATAGATCAGCCCCTAAGAGTTCTAACTTTATATTTTAACCCCTAAGAGTTCTAACTTTATAGATCAGCCTCAGTTATGACTTGATAAACCCACCCCTAAGAGTTCTGACTTCACACCAATTCTGTTGGCTCCATACTTGTTCCAGGTAAGTAATTCAAAAAGTACCGAATGCAGTGACGGACAGGAAGCTAGCATTTTCAAAAGCAGGTCAAGCAATGCCATTTTCTCAGTAACAGTTCCTGTTGAGCACACTGTATTTATGGCCAACCATCAAACAATGAAGCGTGCCTACAACAAGAAACAACATGCATCTTTGGTTCTTTGCCTCTGGAGTACACGGTATGATAGGTAACAATACAACATATCCTAGATCATAGGTATGATGTCCACATGTCACCAGAAATACGACATGTCAATGTTTCCAAAATCTATTTCCTATATTTCCTTGCACACAGATGGCTTCCTCTATAAGGGCAGTTTCAAATGCACCATCAAAGCTTAAAAATGTTTAAATACCAAGCAAACATTTGACAAACCATGGGATTCCATCAGCTGAGCCTTGAAGGCCATCACATGCTGTTCAAGTCTCCAAGGAAAACGCACCACTCATTATTCACTTTGCGTTTATGAGTAGACAAAGCTGCAAACAATACCTAGCTAGGAGAAGAGAAAGTTATTGGTCAGTCTACTTACCTCCGGAAGGGGCATTCCATTGATGATGAGGTCGGGTTGTGGTGGGCTCTGGTTGGTGAAGGTGTGATGGTAGACGTGATTGGACCCTGCATTCCTGGTGTTCTGGTTTTCCACATTAAGGAAAGTGCTGTCCGTGCGGCGGCATCCCAAAGGAAGCGTCTGCTGGTGGTAGTCAAAATAATTTAGCGACGAGGTAAGGGAGGAGCAGCTCACCACGTTCATCTTGTCTGTCTCCTCAACGTCGCGAGGCACCAGGCGGATGTCGTTCTTGCAGATCTTCTTCTTCTTGTTGGACTTCTTTTGGTGTCCGTAAGAGTATTCGGCTATCCTGCAAGACAACATTAATAAGGTGCAAAGACGTGCACAGTTTATAAAGACCCAACATAAAATCGACAACATCAACTACAAACCAAACACCAATGCAAAAAGAATTTTAAAAAATAAATAAAAAAAGCAACAAAAACTATAACAAAAGTCAAAAGTACAGGAAAAAAAATGTTCAATGCAACATGACATTCAATAAAAAAAATGGATACTACAACGAGTGCAAAAGAAAAAGAAAACCAAAAACAAACAAAGCAAATCAACAGCATAAACTCTAACACAAAGACTGACCAATGGACAGAGTGAAGTTGATCGAGATATCTTGGATATTTTTGAAACCCAAGTCAACCAATAAACACACATACTATGGAGAAGTGTGACATTTCATAGTTACAAGTGCCTTTCTTCTTTCTCTTTACCGCTAATTATGATGAGTTGAAGTGAACCCATTCTTTCCTACATATTAATTGGAAGAACCAAGGGTTAATTGGTCTCTGAACAGTACAAAGCTACGAGGATTCACTCTTAAATTTGTTGACACGCAGTCTTGTTCCAGTCAAAAGTGGTAACATTATATGTTTGCATCTGTATTAATTATGACTTTTCATCTGCGCACGGAACATCTTGTTTCGCTTTCCCCCTTTCACTCCTTCTGTTATTTTCCGTTAATTAGCATTTATTGTACACATGTAGAAACTGTGCGCTGGCTCTAACGAAGGGCTCCTCACAACCAAAGCCAACCTTCAACTCTTTGGTAGAATTAGCTTTGTGTAGAGTTAAGCCAAACCTCTGCATTGGGTGGTTGATAACGTTCTTGCCCCAAATCTGGTGCG